GAAATATGATTTTCAATGAAAAACACCACTTTAAGATTTTCAGAATACACTTTTGTGATCCTAAAGATTGGCAGTCTGGTGATGATAATGGAAGTAGTATTGATAGATCATTTTGTACAGATTGAACAATAAAGCATGATGGAGCTATCATGCAAATCCTCAGATTGTGCCCAACAGTTGTTTTGATTATTTACAAGGGAGTTCAAGCTCCTACAGTCTGTCACACAATTCACATTGCTTTTCGTAGTTGTCATGTGTACATTTTTGTGATATACATGTATGAAGGTTAATACTACTTATTGCCATGTTCTCAACAGGATGAGGGGACATTTCAGCTAAAGGAGTCAGCTCGTGCATTTCTTAAAACCCTTGGAAGTAGAGATGCTGAACAGATGGGATGGCGAGATACCTGGGCTTTTGTCACTCAGAAACAGAAGAAGCATGGTAAATGGTAACCTAGGATAATCAACTTGAGAAAAGTGTGAGGATAGCTGACATTTTTACCTACACTGTATTTTCTTGATCCCATCTACCCAGACCCTTCAAACTCCAACAGTAGGTATGTGTATTTTCAAGTTTTGGCTGATTCAGTGCCGTACATTGTGAATGTCTCCAACTTTATGGGGCCGAGGAGCAAAGGCCTGGGGAAATGCTGTAAGATTTTGTTTGAGTGGAAAAACGGGGATCATTCCATGGAGTGAAGGGCAAATGGTACCATATGTTGGACTGTGCATGATTTTGTCAGGTTTATTATTAGTGCTGTGCTTGTCAACCCATTACTACAGTATGTAGACCCATCCATACCAAATGACTCAGACTTTAACAATGTTGACTTAGACTTAAACAGGTACTGTCTAGTCATGTGCCAGCAAATACAGGGATCTGCTTGTATTTGTTGAAATTGTCAGGTTCAGTACTGTTTTAGTTCAATAGCTTAAGGGCTTTGTGTTGATATAAAATTGATTATGAGCAAAGATGACTTATACATTTAAACAGCATTTCCTTAAGTGCATTTTTCAGTCCATTTTGAGTTTATTACATATCATGCTATATTATGTAAATGAACTTAAACTGCCCAGTGTCCATCAAACTCCAGCAACGTTTGCTAGGTTTTGGCAGGTTTGGTAAATGTAAAAGTCCAAGAGCCTAGGGGGTTAGGGCTAAGGGCCTAAACGAGTAGCATACACAAAACAGACTAAAAAACACACGTCATAGTGGTATAATGAAAATGTGAACATGTAAGTTACCGTAACCACATCTTTAATCCAATGTGACACTCTCAGCTGCAGATTACTCACAAAATAACTACTGTGCATGTATCTTCACTGAAGTAGAGACTTATTTGCACCTTCTGCGTAAGAAGTACATATAATTGCGGAATATGCCTTCCTTGAGGACACAAGTAGTATTATCCTTAGAAGTCATGTCTCCTATTAATCCATAGTAAACTTTTATTGATACAAATGGAAGTGTGGAGTGCTTTAAAATACATGTTTTTTCACCGGAGTGAAAAGTTGTGCCAATGTCATATTGTTAGAGTTCAGTTAAGTTTGGTTACATGAATCACTTGGCAAAGGCCAAAAGGCAGGTTTTACTTCTAATTATGGTAATGATGTGATTTTCCCAACAGTGATTGCTCCACACCGATATTTACATTTACATTCATGTGTACAGCGTGATGTGAATTCAGGAAAGTCAGATGACTTTTTAAAATGCCTCTTCAGTCTCTTATCTGTGCAGTCACAGATTCTATAATTTGAAATCCAAATGATTGTATTATTGGATGCCCCAACACAGGTCATGCCTTTGCAGAGATGCACAACAAGGCAGTTGACATGAACCACTGGGGTTCTCCAGTTATCCTCAAGACCACTATCAATCTTGTCCCAGTCAAAGGTATGTATACAGTCTTCCTGCTTGCCATTACTGAATGTGGCTGGTGCTTTGCTTTGTCCTCTCTGCCTGGAAGGCCCCAAATCAGCGTCTTCATACTGTAGTGCTTGTGTGGAGCCTACATGTAATTTGTAAAGTAGGTGCACATTTTAAGTCAGTGGATTTTAAAGTGTCGTGTAATATGTGTTATGGTACATTTAATACAGATGCGTATTATACATGTATACAAATCCAACGTTTTTGTCCAATTTTAGGACTTGCTTGTAAAGAACCGATGTACTCATCATGTACTGTATATATATGAAACTACATGCAGTGTAGAATATTTGTTGAAATTTTGTTTTTCTTTCAGAAAGTGAATGTAATTGGCCTGATACAGAGGCAAATCAAAGGAGACGTACCTTCTGTGATCAGCTGGAAGGATATGGGAGTCTGTGCTCCTGTGATGCCCCAGCTCCTATTGATATGAGCCCTGAACCAGTGAGTGACTGATCCTTTAGTTGTGTTATCACCTTGAAGTCCAGCGTTTATTCCATGTTGTTTGCACAATGGAAGAGTGAGCAGCACAATATTTATTTGAAAGCAATATTGACTGGTAGTAACACTTGGTTTGAAGGGAAACCAAAGCACGTATTGCTGGTTGGATTTGTTGCTTACTGAAATTGAGGCTTACTAGTAACTATATGTGGCATGAAGGACTCTGTTATCACTCATGGATCACACCCATTAGATGGATATTGAAGTTGTGCACTTGATCAGTGCATGTCGATAACTCAGTTTGTGTGAACATAGTGACTTTGCCTCTGACTTCGATCACATTATCATGGAATTTGTACAGTGCAAACTTTAACCCTAACCCTCCTCAATCCTTCACCTGTTGGAGGACTGAGGAAGGTTAGGGTTAAAAATGAATGATAAATTGACATACAAATGTACTTAGTGTAATCTCTCCTGTTACTCAAGTTGATCAAATTGTCCTGACTAGGTAGTGTGATGGTGCATTTCTTACGAGATTTCATTTTATACTTTTTGGCGAGCTACAAAGCAAGTGCAAGCCTATGTAATACCGATTTCCGCCTTCTGTCCGTCTGTCCATCCAGCCATCTGCCCTCAAATGTTAAAGTTTTTCCTTGCAGGTCCACAGGTGGGTGTTAAAATGTGCCATTGAGTGCTTGTTTGCTTCTTCTTGAAATTCCATCAGTATTTAAATAGTCTCATATGGCATTAATGCTTAAAAACTTAGGAATTTAATGAAAAAATTATAAAACTTGAATGTTAAGATTTTGAGTTGTATTGTGTACTTACCCTGTAGTACATACAGTATATACGTGTATGTACTGAGCACTCCTATAATGTACATGTATGTATAGACAG